TGGTCTCTACCGGTAGCAAGACTGCATCGCAATATTCCGTGACAACAGCTTCCTGTTCTAACTCATCTTGGCCTTGTCTCACTCGGACCAAGATTTCAGTATTCTGCTCAGACACTTCTAACTTTGATTTGAGAGATATTTGTCTCGCTTTGAGGCCGGCCAGGTCGGCAGAGCTACTATTGAGCATCTCCAATGACTCTTCGTATTTCATTTTCAATAAGCTGTGCTCGTCAATGGCGCTGCTAAGCATTTTCTCTTTCGTAATTTTGCTCTTTCGTAATGCCTCCAGTGTACTCCAGGTTGACTCATCTAGCTTGAAGCTCTCGGGCAATTCAGGCATGGCGGCATCATCGACATCGTGGACATTCGCTGAGTTTGCAGTGGGTTTCATACCCGGCGCCCCTGACACGCTGATATTCGCACCCGCATGCGGATCGACGTGCCGATCTCGGTAGTATGCTAATATTATTTTGAAACTTTCCTGGTCAGGCTGATGCTCGAGTTGAAGATCACGTTTGAAGTTGCGCTCGAGAAGCTTGTCTTCGTTCTGAATGATCTCAACTCTTTCAGCTGCGGCATCAACCAGACTGCCTGTTCGGCTCACCAGATTTTGAAATGATGTGTTCTCCTCTTCCACCGTTGCTCTTGATGAGTTCATCTCGGTAAACGACAATACATCAGCCTCATGCTCCAGCATACCGACACCTATCCGGATAGAGTACAACTCCTGCGTCATCACCGCGTTCATGACTGTCACGCGCTGATCAGACAATTGTCTAACCCGATCATCAAAATTGCGAGTTATGTCACCAACTTCCGTGCGAAGCTTCTTGAATTCGAGTTCTAGTGCCTTTCGGTATTTTTCTTGGTGTTCTTCGAGGATAGCCTTGGCAGAATTATATTCATCTAATTCTTTTTTTTGAGAATCTGTTAGCTCCATGGTTTCAAACTCATGGAACCAGCTCGGCGGTTTGAGCTCTGTCTGGAATAAGTCCGCATCTTTTTTGGTCTCAAGTGTGCCATACATCATATCTTGCAGAGCTCGTTCGCCAGCATTGTCACCAGTACCCAACAACCGCTCGCGCTGCTCTTCTGCTTTTTGGCGCATGATACGAACGGCATCAGAATCTGGAGGAGTGCAACTAAGCTCAGAATCCATGACCTGAATCACAACATCAGGTGTTTCGTCGGGTTCCGCAAACACCGGCTTGAAATAATCTTCTTTGGAACCGAGTTCACCCAGAATCTCACCAACACGCGTATTTTTCTCGCCTATTCTATCCATCTCATTGCGTTTGTCGTCATAAAGAAGTTGAAAGCGAGAGTTAAAGCTCACTTGCATGTGATAGACAAGGTCGCTCAAAAGTGCTTGCTGCGCTCTCCTTTGAGTCGACGTCTCGAGCGCAAGCGGTGGATAGAGCTGAGTCAATAACGAGTTTATGTCCAATGCCTCCTCCTCTCGGACTTGAATGTCACCATCTTCTTCTTCCTCATCATCTGGACCTTCGGTAACATCCCGTAGCGGGATGTTCAAATCTACACGACCAGCTTCAGTTTGTGGCGATGCAATATCATTGATGCTAGATTTTTCAACCACATCTAAAACTGGGCGCAATTCACCCTGGTTCAAAATCCAAGATATTTCTGTAGGAATGATGCCGAAGTTTCGCGGCCAAGTAGGGTTGGTATTGCCTGATAATGCTATGTCTCGCAATTCAAGTTTCCGCAGAACACGGATGCACTCGATGCGGCGCGTTTCAGCCAGCGTCCGACGTTTTAGTGGAAAGTTAGACACGAGCATGTTCGCACGCTGAAATGCTCGGCACTCTGTCGCTTGTACCTCCATAGAGTCCCAGCAATCCGAGCGAATCCTCGACGATATAGCGCTCCGTGCTGTGTCCTCATCCTTCAACTTTGCTTCGAGCTCTCCTGCTCTTTCTCTGCTTGCGACTAAAATCTTTTCACGTCCAACTAAATCGACAACAAAGTCCTCACGTTGTAATTTTTCTATATCTGAACAGACTTCATTCTTGGCCAGAAGCTCCTGGAGCCGACGACGGAGGTCTGCTAGGACATTACGTTGGACTGCTTTGTGGGCTTCCGCTTCTAACATGGCCGACTCTTTGACTTTCTTTTGGTGGGTTTCATGCCAAGTTGTTCGAAGGATGGGTATCGCTCGAATAGGAATATGACACAGCTTCTCGGCAAGCTGTTGGAATCTCGTGCGCTGAGTCAGCTGGGAACTTGTGCCCTGAATTGGAATAGTCAAACTAAACACAGACCCATCGAGTCCACTCGAATACAGAGCAGCCACATCCCTGGAAAAATCGACACACACAATTGGGCCCACGTGCAAGTCCATTGAAGTCAGGGCCACAAATTCTGCGCCGCTTTCCGTTGGAACTTGTAACAAGATCAACCGTCCGTCGGCGCTCCCTGCGGCCAGATATGTGCCGCATGGAGATGTCTTCAAACATGTGAAGCCATGCTTGTGAACTACTCCAATTTTTGCTGATGTAAGTTTAGTGTCCCCGCCCAGATCAGGTAGCGAGAGTAGCAAGAGCTGACAGGAAGACGGGCTTGCCCCACAAACGAACACATCCCCATTTGAGCACCAACTTTCTAATACAAGCATTGCCGTCAACGGCGTGCCGATCTTGGAAGACCACATTTTTTTAAGTAGATGCAGGTTGTTTTCATCAAGTTGCCCTTCATCAGACATGCAGAAACAACTCACGGTTGAATCTATGCATGCGACGAGAAGAAGATCATCGTGCCACAATAAGCTGGAGTTGGCTTCATCATTAGTCGTTGAAGCCAAGAGCGAAAGTGGGTTGCTGCTCTTATGAGATAGTTCAATTATGTGTAGTTCTGATTTACAAGCAGCGGCAATCAGGTCCCTGTTGGGATGGAAGATGATACCGCTTGTTGGACTATGACTCAACTGTAGATTGCCAAGCGAAGCAAGTCCGACGGTATCAGGTCCTCCGCTTTGAGATTCACTGATTAGATACAAAAGATGTAGGCTACCAACTGCGGTACCAATTAAAGCCATGGAATCATGAGGCGCTGTCGCAAGTGAGGTGATTGCAATCGCAGGCCCTGGTCCGCTGCCAACTTGAGAGGATTCAAGGGTTGACTTATCAGAAGCCGCTTCTGTAGCCTGGCGGAACGTGTGTCTGCACAACACCCCGCCCGTGTCACTCCATACTTTTAAACAACCATCCAGGCCGGATGTCAACAGAACCGGGCGGGTTTGATCAAGGGATACCAGCTGCGAGCCCAATGCCAACACAGGGCCGGTGTGGAAGTCAAGAAGCCGGGAGCTCGGAGCTTGCTTACAGTCAAGCTCCTCAGTATCACCCAATGATAAGAAAGAAATCTTTCCAGGTGCAGTCATCACAAGCTGATCACAGCACGGGGTCAAGTTACAGTGTGAGAACTTCACGGATTGACTCATGGTGAGTCTGAAGTCCAACGCATCAAGCTTGTTCGCATTTACCCCTAGTGCAATGCCATCTGAAAAGGCTAATAAGACGTGGTCTCTCAGGAGGGTTACAAACACGCAACAAGAATCAGGTTCCACTCCAGGCAAAGCAAACAGACGAACAAGGCGGCCACTGTTTGCATCAAATTCCATTAGATCGTTAATCCGATTCACGGCAAGTATCAGATCGTCGTCAGCCCAGCACTGGCAATTGTATGAATTCATCGGTCTGTGTTTTTCTAACTGAGAATCATCACTTTCCTTTTCTTCTTGTGGTAGGTTCTTGTGGCAGGGCGTGAGCACATCAGTTTCGACAGTGGAATGGGAGACGAGTGTAGCGTCCAATTTTCTGATGTTATACTCGCTGGCCATGGCTTCGACCTTCCAAAAAGAAAGCCCGTGACTTCCAACTGTGCAGATCATTGAGTGGTTCCTAGGATTAAATGAGCAAGCATGAAGGTTGAAAGGTGATTCCTTCCTCACGTTGACGAGTGTCGTGGCGATCAGTTCTGACCGAGTCAGAGACCACAAATATAAGTGGTGATCAAATGGCCCTGAAAGTCCACATAGAAATTCCGCGCTTTGTGAAATGGCGAGAGTTTCATATTCTAGATCGGTTCCATGTTTCAAAATTGATTTGGACTCTTTTTCGGGATAATGTAGCACGTGAATCTTTGCCTTAGTCGACCGCGGTGCTATTGCAATCAAATTCTTTTGAACGTGAGTGGTGAAAGCTGAAATTCCAAGGCGACAATCGAGCACGTTCGTCACAAAGTCGTAAGTGCCGCATGACATATCTAAAATCGCGATGCCATTGCCATGAATGTATACGGCGTGATCATCATCTACATATTCTAATTTTCCACCCGGAAATGCGAATTGTGTTCTGAACGAGAGTTCCATTGGAACGCAACGACCGTTCTGTCAAAACATATCTAAAGATATTAAAAAGAATGATATAAGATATATGTGCTGAGCGGGCCTTCAACATGGACTCGGCTAATAAATTGCGACTAATACCCCCCAGTAACTGTTTTCCGGGTATTCTTCAGCTTGCATAGTTTTCTGGGTGTTCTTCGGCCTGCCCTACTTCCCCTACAGCGAACTGAAGGTGTGTACAGCCAGCAGACCGCCAGGCTCTCCGAGTCGGAGGCAGAAGTAGGGTGGCGCCCTTCTGTCC